AAAAGTCAAATATTTGGTTATAATCGCCATTTATTTATTAGATTGGACGCTATACAGCGGGTAACTGTAATGATTTAGAGTTTTGTAAGAATTTAATAATGTAATATAATGAATAAATATGTGATTTAATAATAACAATAGAGAATAGGAAATAAAAGTGTTCCAAAAATGAAAACCAACTTCGTTGTGACAAAACCAGTTATTTTGATTAAAAAAAAACTACTGAACTGATTTTGGTAAAGTATCTATGTAACCAATCTGTAAGCATATCTTTTCAGATAGAAAAAATAATTTTTCAATAATTTTATTTGGTTTGCAACTGACGGAGTTACGAGGTAACAAACATAAAAGAATATAGTTGAATTAAGAACGCCCCTTTTTTTGAAGTCGGTCAAAAAGTATAAATATTATTATTAATTAAAATAATATTATTCTCTTAATTAAAAAAAATATTAATTAAGAGAAGAGTTCGAAATGCATTTGACAAGTATTAACATTGTTTATATTTTGTTATTATTGAAATGAAACCTTTCAAAATTATCATTCATCATTTTAGCTATTCACATACAATCCACTTACGGAATCATCCTCACCTTTAGCCACTGAACACCTGCAACGTATTTGAGATCATTTTATATTTACTTTAGCATTATTTTATTTAACTGTATATTTGTTTATGTATTTTAAATATTAATAGTTGTAGCACTTCAGCTGCCCGCTAACGACATGCTTTCTCACTGTATTGGGTTGACTGGAAGAGATCTCTGTCAGATATAAGTCATTTGTATTATATAGAATACAAATGACTTTTCTCTGCATATCTTATATCTAGTATTTTTATTGATAAGTCATTGCTCACAGCATTTATAAATGCACTATATTGTTTTTTTTTTAATGGGTGAAAATGGTTTGGTAACCCCGCCCGCGCTATAGGTATACACCGACGAGGCACCAGTGGAGGATGATAGGTGAGAATGAATGCAGGTTAGTTGGCTCACCATGATGAATTAGACAAGAATTAAACATGATGGTCTCCAGGAGATACCACGTGGAGGTCAACCTGAGAGGGTATATTGCAAGTAATGGGGCTATTAGACCAAAATGCACTATATTACATGTAATTTACAAGTGCTTTATGTATATATATATATATATATATATATATATATATATATATATATATATATATATATATATATATATATATCGTACTGCGTTTAAAAAAAGGAAAAAAAGGTTTTTTTTTTTTTTATACTACTTAGAATGGCAAACAAGCTGACGGCCCACCTGATGGAAAGTAGTAACCGTCGCCTATAGACATGAGCAGTACCATGGACATAATAGAGTATACTGTTTCGCCCATGATACCCCCCATGCGTTGCCATTCCTGAGGACTCAGGTGTTATTCCTCTGTACCCAGTAAATTCACATCATCACACACATCCAAAGAATTTGACATCTATTACCAAAACAAACGGTCATAATACTGTTTAAACTCAATTGAACTTGATGACATAGTTTTTATATGTGTACGCCTATAAAAAACTATGTCAACAATCCTAATGCAAGATGCATGTTACGAACCAATTCGTCTAATTTCTCGGAATCGTTGAACATTTTCATTGATGATATAACACGATGTAACAATAATTACATACAAGGCCATAATATAATAATTCGTGACGAGATAACCCAGGCCACATGAGTAAGTATCTCTACAGATTTCAAGCTACATACAAGCAGATCGTAATTAGTACATGCTAGTATAGTATTATATATTTATTCCCATTCATATGTAATACAATTTGCAAAATTTGTAATCTAAAAACTGTACCGTAAAAAAAACAAAATCAAAAGTAAGTTTATCAGAGGGAGACTTTGTACAAAAGTCGTTTGCTTGGGCACCTTTGTCCCATTCGTGTTTCTACCGTGAAGCAGTTGTGTTTGCCTGGCTGTGTTTCGGTTTGAAGGGTGGGATATGGCAGTGAATTTACAGGGTACAGAGGAATAACACCTTAGTCCTCAGAAATGGCAATACATGGGGGGTATCATGGGCGAAACAGTATACTCTGTTATTTCCATGGTACTGCTCATGTCTATAGGCGACGGTTACCACCAGGTGGGCCGTCAGCTTGTTTGCCATTCTAAGTTGCAATAAAAAATAATTAAACAAACATTTGAAGTCTATGAATTATGGCGATATTGAAAACATGCTCATGTAATCATATAAATAAAAATACTGTTCACATACACACAAACACACACACACACACACATACACTTACACACACACACACACAGAGAGAGAGAGAGAAAGAGAGAGAGAAAAAGTAAGAGAGAGAGAAAGAGAAAGAGAGAGAGAAAGAGAGAGAGAAAGAGAAAGAGAGAGAGAAAGAGAGAGAGAGAGAAAGAGAGAGAGAGAGAGAGAGAGAGAAAGAGAGAGAGAGAGAGAGAACTAAATAAGGTAAATTCTGTGTTTGTACAATCATACATTGTTAAATAAATATATCTTTATTATCTGTGGTACACTTGTTTATGAACGAGTAAATGTACAAGTGACCTTTCATACGACGATTTCACGTATGTATCTTGTAGTTATCAAGATCTGTCCGAAATATTAATGAAATATGGAGCCTGATATTAATATCATGAAAGAAATGTTAAAATGTTATCAGAATGTGACTTTACCTATAAGCATTTAATCTGTTTTGTTTCTTGTATATAATCTGGGCTTTATAAAGGCCCAGGTTATAATTAGACTTAAACACAATCCACTTTGCGATATTTTACGCCTATATTACATATATAAATAACAATAAGAAACTTTATATATTATTAGATGTATTATTAGAATATAATTTATTAATACTATATCTAATAATATAAAATTTTTTGTTATTACATATTTATTTATTTTAATTTATTAATTTTGAACAAATTTACACATACTTGGTACAACTTATTTTATTTATAAAAGAATTTGATATCTAATGTCATAACTAATAACAATGTTGCGCTAATGTGAAACAAACATTATTTTGTTGACATAGATTTTTATGATGACTTCTATGTATTACAAAATTTATAATGACGATGGGCGAAACAGTATACTCTATTATGTCCATGGTATTGCTCATGGCTATAGGCGACGGTTACCACTTTCCATCAGGTGGGCCGTCAGCTTGTTTTTCATTCTAAGTTGCATAAAAAAAAACACAATCAGGACTTAACGCGATGTAAAAGCCTTACAGGTAAATAGTATTTTTTTAATGGAATGGGTTGTCATTCCTGAGGACTCAGGTGTTATTCCTCTGTACCCAGTAAATTCACGTCACATCCCACCTTTCAAACCGAAACACAGCCATGCAAATACAACTGCTTCATGGTTGAAACACGAATGGGACAGAGGTACCCAAGCAAACGACGTCTGTACAAAGTCTCCCTCTGTATACCTGCTTCTTTATTTTTTATCGACATATTCGACCTTTGATCTTTGTCCAGTTTGGTACACATAATCACGACAGTTACTTTTCAATGATCTATACTATCTCGAAATAGAATATTTTCATTGATGACACAATATGATGCAGAAGTAATTGCACACAAGGCTTACATCTTTACTTATTATATGTATTAATGAATCTTAACAAGATAACCCTATATACAGACTCGAGACCGTAGTGAAGGACACTCCACTTTATTTTTACAGCCACCATAAATTCGAATCAAGCATGACAGGTGGCTGTGACAACTGAATTATTGTATTACAGCGTTGTGCAATTATTACTTGTACACTGCCCGAATTTAATAAACGCTCAATGGCATCTTTAAAGTTCATATAACGAATGGAGATTTATGAGTGTTAATGTTGGAAATCAGAGAGTTTATTGTCACTGATTGTTTATCTGTAAGGTGACTTACAGTTTATTCTGTATTTATGTTAAACTTTATCTTGACTAATTCCTAAATGATAAATGTTTGTTTTTCTTTCAAATTTCTGTAATTTGTACTAATTTGTACAAATTTGTACTAATTTTGTACACGAATAGGTTATATCTTAATTTTAAATATAGAATGTATACGGATGAAGTTAGTGTTATAAATGCGAAAGTTTGTTTATTTCTTTGTTTGTATGATACCTCTTGTCACTTTAACATCTCAACCAATCGTTTTTATAACTATGCGTTGTGCATGGAATTATAAAAAATAGGATATATATGGATAAAAGTAGTATTATAAATGCGAAAGTGAGTTTGTTTATTTCTTTGTTTGTATGATACCTCTTGTCACTTTAACGTTTCAACCAATCGTTTTTATAACTATGCGTCATGCATGGAATTATAAAAAATAGGATATATACGGATAAAAGTAGTATTATAAATGCGAAAGTGAGTTTGTTTATTTCTTTGTTTGTATGATACCTCTTGTCACTTTAACGTTTCAACCAATCGTTTTTATAACTATGCGTCATGCATGGAATTATAAAAAATAGGATATATACGGATAAAAGTAGTATTATAAATGCGAAAATGAGTTTGTTTATTTGTTTGATAGCTCTCGTCGCTTTAATGTCTTAAACAATCGTTTTTATAATTATGTATCGTACATGTAATTATAAAAAAGAAGCAGTCATTTGAAAGAACCTCTAATAAATGAAATGTTTTAGTTAAATTTGTTTTGTATTACTTACTTATTATTAGAAATATGTAATATCTGATAGCTATATATTGAATTCTTGTTGACATTGATGACCGACCACTGCGGTATCGCTCATACCAGTCGGATATCTATATTCATTACGAGCGGTATCTTCTTTTCGATATTATATATTGGATAATCGACATCTAATATATCTGTTATTGGACCAATATGTGTATAGATATTGTAACTAGATACAATATATATTGCTAAATTACTCTTACTGATTACGTCCTAAAATATCTTAAAATATTGATTTTAAACACAAAATCAAACTGTTTAATACTTAATGCAAAAGGTACCTTGCAAGCGAATAGTGCATTCTGCCAGGTAGCTTGTTTTTCGCTGAAGAAATAGCAGCTGTGCCCGAGCCGGATGAATTGTGGTGGGCACACATACGACATCTTTGTTGAGTCGCGGTGTCCCTCCACTGTTCCATCTGCAATAAATATCACATGACAATTAATATCTTGATAGAGATTTGGAAGAAATGAATCGCAACATATTTGCCTAATTGAAAATCAAAGAAAAGAGGGTATAATAAGTATGAATTAATTAATTTAATTTATTAATTTTTTAAGATTTTTTATAAAAGATACATATTTGTATTATTCTTTAAATGGTGCAATAAAGAGTAAATATTAATTTTTAGACATTTATATTGTATGGTTTATGATTTATAAGAGAAGCGAATTAATGCGATCACTTAGGTAAATTATCATTTAGATGGGTTTTTTTTATAGGTGAAAATGGAATGGTAACCCCACCTGCGCTAACGGGATACGCTGGCGGAGCAACAGTGAAGGGTGATAGATGAGAATGAAAACAGGCCAGTTAGCCCATCATGATGAATTCATTAGGAATTAACCATGATAGTTTCCAGGGGGAACCGCGAGGAGGCCGACCTCGTTGGGTATATTGCTAGCAATGGGATTCTCAGTCTCCATTACTAACAATCCCTTTCCTCCCAATTTAGATGGGGTAGCCATGCCTCCGCTTCATAGTTTACCGAAATTATCGTATTAATTATCGACTGTTCTAAACTACAGTTACCATTTTCCATCAAGTAGGTCATTATTTTGTTTGTCATTTTTTATATATTTTAATTAAATATATATAGAAAATAAAAAAATGTGCTGTCTTCGTTACATGGAATGGTAATTTGGAATGGAAAGTTATAATGCTTTTTTGATGCGTATATTATTTGCGACTATTTGGGGTTGCCGTGTCAAAAATGGGTCATTTTTTTATTTTGCGTTAGAAATTGCACTTCCTATCTCACTGAACGAGCCACACGAAACTTTAACGCCAGCCGGTAATAAACTCCTCATCTGGGTTTATATTCATGAGGGCTTTTAAAATAGAATTTCTGTAGTTCCGCATTGTGATCCAGATCTAGATATCATACAAATATGACATTGATATACGCGCTTGTTTTTTTACTGTTTTATTGGTTGGACCAATAGTTTATCACGTTCGTAGGCGTGTTATAGTCACGTTACAGTGAATAAACTAAATAAAACATTATTAAACAATTATCATGTTGAAAAATAGCCTATTGTTGGGTTTATCGCGACACTCATCACAGGCCAATGAGACGTGGCACTTCCCAAAGTGGCGTCTGCCATTAAAGGTCGCTAGTAGGGGAACCGCTTCGGAAATATGCAAACTAGTTATATTCCAAGGTCAAGTTTACCCCAAAAAAGTGAACAGACAGACGGACCGTGGGCTGCATGTCGTATTGTTTTTAATTCATTAACAAATACACGTGATAATTCTCAGGTTTAACAGAAATCTTTATAGAATACTTCGAGCGTATGTGCTTATTGATTGTAAAATAAAAAAGCTTCACGTATGTTTATAGCTGCGGTAATTATAATTAAATAATTAGTAATAATATTACTTACTTGGTATATTACTATTGGATATTATTTCTTAGACATAATATTTTTTATTAGCGTATTAAATTTGTGAGCGAACGGATAAGTTTACTCTTTAGTTCCCCTCAAAGAGAAACATTTACGTCATTAATTGCTTTTTTTTTAAATTTACAATAGAACACGGATGAAATTGTGAAATAATGCGTAGGTACTTTGTCTCTTTCTCTTCTTATTTAGGAATTTCCTCTTGGTGGGGCAACTAATACTTGCATTCTCTTCCAACTCTATTCTGGGCTATATCTTTGATCTTCCTATACGACATGACACCTAGTGTTTCCTTATTTGCCCCGTGTAGTTATTTCTCGGTCTTCCCCTTCCTCTTTTGCCCTCTATTTTTCCTTCTAGTATGCTCTTTAACAAATAGTCGTATAAGGTGGCTCAGCATTTTGCCTCAATGACAATTTTACTCAATTTTACTTAATGATATTTTAATTTCTCACGTTGTAATGAAATTTAATGAAAAGGTAACAAAGTTTTATTAAAATTATCACGAAAATACTCTCTGAATGAATTAGTAACTAATTGAATTCAATTATTTGACTTTTAATTTGCGCTAATTTATAATTACAAATTGTTTATAATTACTCCTCTCCATCCAAAGGTTGCCTGGAAGAGATCGCTCTTAGCGAAAAGGTCGCCCATTGTTTTCTCATTGTGATTATTTCTTGTAATTATTTATATTTATAATAAGTTTACTATTGTAATCTTTTGGAGGAAACAATAAAGAGTATCTATCTATCTAGTATTGGACTATAGCAGACTGTCTTAAGGCCGGATCCATCGGTCTATAATTTCAATAATACAAATGGAGATATTTTGAACTGTGTGTGTGGGTGGCTAAATTCGAAACTATATAAAGAAATAGTTAAAAATACTTAAGAACGTTGAATATTGATTTTTATAAAGTCTACACTATAGTATTATAACAAAGAATATATTTTAGAAAAGTATAAAACTCGTTTTAAAGATTGTTTTAATGTCGTGCTAATTAATATGATAACAGAAAAAACTAAAGATCGAATCTTTCTAAAATGGCTTTTACACATTGATATTTAAAAAATAATATGTACACAGGGAATCTGATTGAGCTATAGATTTTTAATGGGATATAAGGTGGCAATAAAATTCAGAGGCGTTTGTAAAAACTACAGACAGTAAGTTGCGGTAAAGTGAACACTTTGTACTCGTATGTTAAACTTTCGTGGTTACGCTGAGTTATAACGTGGTTTAGAAAATGTTTTTATTTGAAATATTAGTAATATATTTAAATTACTATTTGAAATACTCTGTAATAAGTAAGCATTAATAAATTAGTTGAAAAACATTTGACTGTGGTCTGGAAATATCGAATATACATAAGTGCTGAACCGAAAATGATAATTGTTATTGCTATCAATAGGGTTTCGTCCTTCCATTTAATTTTTTTTCATAAGTTTTATTTTTTATATATTTTAATTAAACCCATTACATACCTTTTAACATAATTACTGTGGTGAATTATTATTTATATATGTTAAATATTATGTTTAATTAATTAATGAAATATATTATTTATGCATCATCTATATAAGTATGTGTGTGTAAATTGGTTACACAGGTTACACTCTGGGTTTGTTGCACGCGTCCGTGTAGCCTTACTTCAGGTTGCAGCTGAAAATCAGTGCTTTGCTTTTAAGCAAAAGTAGCACTGAGCTGTAGCCTTTTTGGGTCACTGCGACACACTTGGTGAAAACATATCTCCAATATTCATTTTCTGTTTTATATGTTGTTTTATATTTGAAAAAATGTAAATAATCAAATTGTATCATTTTATTCATTAATTTACGTGTGTTAAATGGCTCAAATAAAGTGTTTATCTATCTATCTGTCTATCTATCCATTACTATTATTATGTCAACCGTTAACTGTCCACTGCTGAACATAGGCCTTCTCCATAAGGGGAGTTTTGTCAGTAGTTGCCACTCCTGGCAAACGGATTAGCAACCGTAGCTAAGTCTTTGGTAAAGTTTTAAGAGGGACGCTGCTGTCTATATCTCGTCTAATAAGTTCTCATAGTCGTCTCTTACGATACCCACGAAAAAAGAAGCGGTTGCCCATTTTATTCGTATGCCCAGAACACATCGTGATATTTAAAACTATATAAATAGGTTAATTTATACTTACATTGGCACCAAAACATAATTATAGCTGCTAGCAACACTAGGTTCCCTCTTCTCTCCATCGCTTCCATTGTCACTAATTAAAGAGTCCGATTCAGAATTATTACGAATTATTAAAAAAAAAAACACTATGAGCACACTAAGATACTGGCACAAAATTTTATGTCATTTTTATAATTTCACTTGCGACAACAAAACGGTTTAAGAAAGTAAAGAACACTGCGATGAGATATTTATTTTTTTAATATGATAAGTTTGTAAATTAAGACGATGTCACCTGAAACAAGGAAAAGTGTAATTAGTAACAAATATTTTTTTTATACAACTTAGAATGACAAACAAGTTGACGCCCATCTGATGGAAAGTGGTAATCGTCGCCTATAGACATGAGCTGTACCATGGACATAACAGAGTAAACTGTTTCGCCCATGATACCCCCCATGCGTTGCCATTCCTGAGGACTCAGGTGTTATTCCTCTGTACTCTGTAAATTCACGCCATATCCCACCCTTCAAACCGAATCACAGCCATGCAAACACAACTTCTTTACGGTTGAAACACGAATGGGACAGAGGTAGTCAAGCAAACGATTTTCATACAGTCTCCCTCTGGTAAATATATATATATATATATATATATATATATATATATATATATATATATATATATATATATATAATAGTAGAATCATGAAACACTTCTAGAGATTTGATAGTTCTTAATTAATTTTTACATTTATACGTATAGAAATTATAAGTATGTAAAATACTTAGATTATATAGATAGATAGAGTGTCTCCATACAAATGCTTCAAAGAAAATGAGTCAACTTTTTCATACAATTATGCGTGATAATGATGCAGAATTTATAAGACAAAATAAATATATTATAATATATTTGTTTTGTCTTATATATTTTGCATCTTTTTAATGCGAAAATATTTATTTTAATTGCTAAATAATACGTTAAGATACATTTTATGCGTAAGTATATAGAACATTGATAAAAACACGAGTCAGCTAATTTGACAATTAACGAAACGAAAAAACGAATTTGTATAAAAAAAAAATATACGGATAGGTTATATCTTAACTAAGCACATAGGATACTTCACGCAGGTAAAGTCGCGGGATAGAGCTAGTTTGAAATATAAATAACACATGTGCCCCATTACGATGTAGAGACATCCAATATAAAATGATCTTTAGGGTGTTCTTCTTAAATATATTTTAATAAAAAAAGGTAGTATCATTCGTATTTCATTTAAATACATTTATGGACTTTGTAGCTACGTATAAATGTACACTGATTATTAAAATTGCTGCATTCAGTAACATATTGGACGTAAATATTTTATAATCCTATTTATAAATGACTACAACACCGCACTAGTTAATATGACCTCATTTTTCTTATCAGTTATATTGTATAAAATCTAATAGTGTTATTTAGACACATTTATTAGCTAGTTTACAATAAAACTGCCTGTACTGACATAATGAACTGACGTAATAATTTGAAGGCGAATACAATATTACTATGGTGGTCTATGTACCCAGTAGCAGATTTTGTTTCACTATTTTTTTTTTTAATGGGTGATAATGGTGTGGTAACCCCGTCTGCGCTATTGGTATACACTGGCGGGGCACCAGTGAGGGATGACAGATGAAGATGAAAGTAGGTCAGTTAGCCCATCCTGACGAATTAAACTAGAATTAGTCACGATGGTTTCCAGGAGGAACCACGTGGAGGTCGACCTGACAGGGCTATTGCTAGTAATAGGGCTATTTGACCCCATTACTAACAATCCCTTTCCCCCCTGTTTCACTATTTAGAGCAGGGTTCCCAAACTTATTTTGTGATAATAGAAAATAACCGTCAACGTATTTTTTTGCGAAGCAAATAAATGGTTTGTTATCATTCATACAAATAGCCTGTTGCTCAAGTTAAGAGACTGTATTACGAGAAACCTTGCTATGAACATCAGAGAGTCGAACCAATTCAGAAAAGTTCGTTTCTTAAATTGGTCCGATAGGGGGGAAAGGGATTGTTAGTAATGGAGACTGAGAATCCCATTGCTAGCAGTATACCCAACCAGGTCGTCCTCCACGCGGTTCCCCCTGGAAACTATCATGGTTAATTCCTGATGAATTCATCATGATGGACTAACTGGCCTGTTTTCATTCTCGTCTATCATCCTTCACTGGTGCTCCGTCAGCGTATCCCGTTAGCGCAGGCGGGGCTACCATACCATTTTCACCCATCAAAAAAAAATTGGTCCGCTTGAGAATCGAACCCGGGGCCTCCGCACGCAAAGCGATGTGCTCATCGCTTAGCAACTGAGGTCGTCAAAAATGTACATGTTAATGTACATAACATGTACATATAATAACAAACATGTTGTCGGTCAACACGAGCCCTTAAGTCTGGTTCATCATCATCATAAATCTATAGGGAAGGCCTATGTCCAGCATTGGACGGATAATAGCTGAACATTTTCTGTCCACTGTTGGACATAGGCCTCCCCATAGACTGCCATAAGGAACGGTCCTGAGCCACCTACATACACTGACTCCCTGCAATGCATTTCAGGTTATCACTTCATCTAGTGGGGAGTCGTCTTACACTGCGTTTGCGCATACGGAATCGCCACTCAAGAACCTTTCTTCCCAACGATTATCGGTTCTTCGAGCTATGTGACCAGCCCATTGCCACAGCTGATCCTTCGGGCTATGTCGGTTACTTTGGTTTTTTTACGGATATCCTCATTTTGGATTCTATGACGCAAAGAGACTCCGAGCATAGCCCTCTCCAAAGCCCGCTGAGTAATTTATAATTTTTGCATACGGAAAATCGTGTAGGACTATAAGTCTGGTTACTAGCAATAAAATCGGCGGCCCTAGCTATTCATGTACAGCTAAACCTCAACAAACTCTTATGCATTAGTCTCGCCAATAACCCGCATGCGCTGAGGTTGAAATTATAATTATTAGGAGCTTTGAAGTGGCCGAAACTCTATGAAATAATAACGCGCTTTGTTTAGCAAAATTCTTGGTACATTTCGTAAGATATCATTTGATATTCACCACGGTGTCTGACCTGTGCCTTATAGGGTCTTAGAAGTCTTTCGTGCACTTAGAATTGTTTGCTGGATTACGTTATGGCTTGTTAGGAAGGTTTTACGTGGATAAAATAGATGAGATCAGACCTTTTGGAAAACAGTTACTTTAATGATTAAATACTTTAAGATTTCAATAATAAAAGCAGTTACTAATTTCATGACTAAATTAATATTACATAAATTGGGGGGAAAGGGATTGTTAGTAACGGAGACTGAGAATTCCATTGCTTATAATATACCCAACCAGGTCGACCTCCTCGCGGTTCCCCCTGGAAACTATCATGGTTAATTCCTGATGAATTCATCATGATGGGCTAACTGGCCTGTTTTTATTCTCATCTATTACCCTTCACTGGTGCTCCGTTAGCGTATCCCGTTAGCGCAGGCGGGGTTATTATATCATTTTCACCCATCAAAAAAAAATATACATAAATTGACTACATGATCAATATGGTAAACATTATATCGAATTTTTTTTTTAAATCTACCAGTAAAGATATAGAAGGCTCGAGGACCTGCTCCCTTTAATGTAATCAAAAAATAAGATACAAAAGCTGATTTTAATGTCAATACTAGGTATTTAGCAATTTATATCAATTAATATAAAGGATGTCGTGTGGTCCCGACATAGAATGGATCAACTCTTACTTTCCTGCGGGTGTCGTAAGAGGTGACTAAGGAAATTTAATGGTCAAGGCCCGTAGTAGCGTTCATCTTAAAATATCACCAAAGATTAACTGCGGTTGCCAACCCGCTTGCCAAGCGTGGCATCTACTGGCAAGACCGCCAAATGGGAGGTGTATCTTTCGCAGTGAACAGAAAACGGCTAAAAATGGCAATAATTTTGACAACAGATAATATACCTAGTACGAGCATAGTCAGTGATCTGCACGATGCTGTTCATGTTTATAGCAACGATTATATCAGCTAATTTGCTATTTTCAGTAGCATAAAAAAAGTTATGGTCATTTAACAGGTTGTTCTTTTAATCATTTATGAGGACTGGTGAGAGACAGTCAGCAGAATGTATTATCTGACAGCATTTGGAAACTCAGCGGCACTAGAAGAGAAATCGATCGCAAAATACACGGCGCTATTTCGACGGAGGAAACACGCCGTAAATCATAGACGCCATTATGTTTTACCATTTCACTTTATAAACGCAATCGGGTTGCCGAGGTGTTTTCTAAAATACCTTTATTTACGACTGTGTGTTTTAGAGCTGCAGGGATATATGATGTTTTGCTCACATTGGCGGCTTTTATTGCTACCTTTTTTCGGAATCCAATGCTATAGGCCTCAAATGACCTTCAGCTTCACCGTACTTAATAGGGACAAGCGTTTTTTTTTATAAAACTTAGAATGGCAAACAAGCTGACGGCCCATCTGATGGAAAGTGGTAACCGTCGCCTATAGACATGGGTAGTACCATGGACATTACAGAGTATACTGTTTCGCCCATGATATCCCCCTTGCGTTGCCATTCCTCAGATGTTATTCCTCTGTACCTTGTAAATTCACGCCATATCCCATCCTTCAAACAGAAATACAGCCATGCAAACATAATTGCTTCACGAATGAAACACGAATGGGACAAAAGTACCCACGCAAACGACTTTTGTACAAAGTCTCCCTCTGGCGTATATATATTAAAAAGCTAGCAGAACATCTGCAATACTTTTGGTGTTGCGGGGGATTTTGGATAGAGGTAGTCACTTACCATCAGGTGAGCCGCATGCTCGTTTGCTTTCTGTGTTATAAAAATAAATGAATGAATAAAATAATGGTAGTCTATACTCGTGAACGGATTTACGAAGAAACTGTTGGTAAAATTAGCTTTCTGATGAAAGCGATTGGAATCTCAGGCATAATGTTGCGGGATTCCTTTAAATTAACTTGGAGATTGGTACTGGCCAGGATTGCTAGTACTTAATATTATGGGAGAGGGATTGTTAATAATTCGGACTACCAGTCCTATTGCTATTGCCCGGTCGGGTCGACTTCCACGTGGTCCTTCCTGGAAACCATCGTGCTGAATTCCATATGTATTCATCATGAAGGGCTGGGCTTACCTTTTCATTCCCACCTATAATCCCTTACTGGTCTTGCCAGCGTATATTGTTAGTGCAAGCAAGGCTACCATTCCATTATCATCC